TCTCATGTATAGTTACAACGGCTACCCCACCCTTCAAACCGAAACGCATTACTGCTTCACGGTAGAAATAGGCAGGGTGGTGGTACCCACCCGCGCGGACTCACAAGAGGTCCTACCACCAGTAATTAGGCAAATTATATTTTTGCGGGTTTGATTTTTATTACACGATGTTATTCCTCTGATTAAATAGTTATTGAACACCAACGAACATATTAATTAGAAAAGAAAATTAGGAAATCTTGAAAGCTGTTTCCTAAAAATCGTATTGAATACATACAGTTCTTTTTTATTATTTTCCATGCGATCTTATTATCGTTCTAATTGTTCGCCTAAGGTCGTCTTTAATTTAACCAGGGAGAATTAAAGAAATAAAAAAAAATGTCTTTAACTGAAACCTTTCTTCATTAATAAGAAATCAACTTTTTTATATTACTTTTTTATTTTTTTATTGTTTAGATGAGTGGACGAGCTCACAGCCCACCTGGTGTTAAGTGGTTACTGGAGCCCATAGACATATCCACAACGTAAATGCGCCACCCACCTTGAGATATAAGTTCTAAGGTCTCAATTATAGTTACAACGGCTGCCCCACCCTTCAAACCGAAACGCATTACTGCTTCACTGCAGAAATAGGCAGGGTGGTAGTACCCACCCGCGCGGAGTCCCAAGAGGTCCTACCACCAGTAAGAACTAAATTATGTTAGAGGGATAATATGACAGGAACAGAAAAGCCGATTCCCACTCACTCTTTATATTATACCTTTACTAACATAGTTTGTTTTTCGCTTTATATTTAGTATTTTTAATGCAATCAGTTTCGGTTTTTGTAATCATATTTGAGAATGTTAAGCTATTTAATTATTATCTCGAGGTGGGTGGCGCATTTACGTTGTAGATGTCTATGGGCTCCAGTAACCACTTAATAACAGGTGGGCTGTGAGCTCGTCCATCCATCTAAGCAATAAAAAAAAAAATTGTTCCACGCTCCAAGGTTATATTATATTCTAGTTATAGTATTGTCTAGCAAGTTCTATTTTTAATTATATAACGCAATGGACATTTCCTTTTTCTCTTTTAATTGTGGACACCCTATCGAAATCATATAAAATATGTTATAATACTTTCGCAAAGAAAATTATCTAGGTATGTTGAAATATTTCAAAAAGCTTAGGCTGTATTGCGTATTAGATGTACATATGTACACACGCATGGAAAATATTTACTCATTCTGCGGTCGGATAAAGTAGCAAGCAAATTAAGGGACATTTACGACTTTTTTGACTGCCATCTAGCGAAAGTCGGAGACATTATTGAGTAATGAATGTGTTTCACAAAAATAACAACAGATGGCGTGAAAAACTAACTTAGCTAACCTAATCTTCGCAGAATCTACCATCGGAAACGCGACCCACTGAGAAGATCCGGCGAGAAACTCAGTGGGCTGTGTCTATGGGTTAATTTATTCGCCGAGCCCTTCGTCGCAAGTGACGGGTTTTTACTGGTGTCTAGCAATGTTCAAACGATAGCCATTACTATGCAGTAAGTACCTGTTGAGCACGATAACCCACAGACACAGCCCACTGAGTTTCTCCCTGGATCTTCTCAATGTGTCGCGTTTCCGATCCGGTGGTAGATTCTGCGAAGCACTGCTCTTGCTAGGGCCAGTGTCAGCAACACTTCGGTTTGAGCCCCGTGAGCTCACCTACACACGTTAGGGTGAAGCTGAAATGGCCTCTCAAGGCTATCAGCATACGTAGGAAAAAAAAACAAAAAAGGGGCATGCTGAAGTTCAACAGCTGGATCTTCCGCGTCACAAAAATCATAGCTTTGTAGGCAGCAACTTGTTAGTACAGCTGGCCTTGCTGATCTCCACCATCGTCCATTTCCGACCACTACGTCCGCTCGCCTGTCTACAGAGGCAATAGGTCGGATGTTGTAGATTTTTTTATTTTCTTACATAGATGGGTGGACGAGCTCACAGCCCATCTGGTGTTAAGTGATTACCGGAGCCCATAGATATCTGCAACGTAAATGCGCCACCCGCCTTGAGATATAAGTTCTATGGTCTCGGTATAGTTACAACGGCTGCCCCACCTTTCAAGCCGAAACGAGAAAAATTCTGGCGTATCGCTAACATATGTATAGATACTATGAATTTAGGTTTCCCTTTACGATTGATAACAACTTATTAACTGTAGGTATATTGGAGAGCCATAATCTAGAGCAACGAAAAATTAAACCTTTTTTAGTAACTATACTGAGACCTTAGAACTGATATCTCAAGGTGGGTGGCGCATTTACGTCGTAGATGTCTATGGGCTCCAGTAACCACTTAACACCAGATGGGCTGTGAGCTCGTCCACCCATGTAAGCAATAAAAAAAAAGTTTGTTTAGTTACAGAACTATTTTAATTTTTAATTACTATAATCCTAATACTGACGATAATTTCGATCGTGCCGATTTTAATCTAAGTAAATTGTAATTATATTAAAATGTAATCTATATACACTTCGAAGATAAAATGCTTCGTTATCTAACAAAGGAATTTTAACTTTAAATAACATTAGCTCAAATACTAATTTGTCTTGAATACATTTTGATAAACCACAAATTTAGGTTATTGAAATTTGAATCGTAATTCGTCAGGGGTACAGTTTATTTATAAAATGTTTTCATACTTTAAATGTACTTTGAGAATTTTATTTCAGTGGACATTTATTATCGAGATTTTTAGTTTGTCACAAAACATTTACATTTTACACGTTCGTGAGGTAGCATCGAGGTTAGTGGTCTTTTTTTTAAACTATCTCCTTATTCATCATTGCTTACTCGACCTTTTGGCCTTCCTTATTATTACTAACCATTAAAATGCCGCGATGCTTCCGAGAGTTCAACGGGCTTTGGAGGCACCGGACAAGCCATAACCGACGGTTTTAATTCAAATTTAATACTCCCTCTTTATTACACGGTTTAACAAAAAGCGTCACCAAATGGCAAATCGAAATAAAAACCAACAGAAAATTGATTTGCCGCTAAGCACATTCTATCTGTTCTAGGTCTATCTTGACTTTAGTTATTGTTAATAGTACACCGCAACATAGCTGCTGTATCATTTTCAGAATTTCTGTAAATAAAATGAGCGCCTTAACTAGTGCCGCGGCTCTCCCTCTGTTTTGTAGAGGTGAGGCCGTGGCATGGGGCCGGCGGCGGGTCCCTCGTTGTTTCGCTGACTGTTGTCCGCGCTTTGTAAATAGTAGTATAGTGTAGTTTTAGTTAGTTGTAGTTAGTTTAAAGTTAGTTAAAAAAAAACCGCAAACAGAGAACAACACGCCGCTGGAGGGTCCTTTTTTTTTTCGTGACGGGGCTCGATTCTCCTACGAGGTCCGAGGTATGTGAGACTCAACGATCTGCATGGTGTTGTGAGCTGACCGCGGGCCCAAGGATTTTAGGGCCCACCCACTAAACGACTCCCCTGCACTCTTACACCCGACTTCCGATCCCCTCCGAGAGCAGAACCCGGATGAGGTAGGGGGGTTACCGCGGTCAACACTACAACCAGACGGCGCGGCTCACCCCAAGGACGCCCAGCCGACGGAGCCTTCGAGGCGAATCGAAGGCTCTGAAACGTCGGCCGTCTCGGTACGGCAACCCGTCAGGCCGCCCAGACGGTGCCGCTGGTGTCCCGGAATGCCCCGCTGGACCAGAACCAGCCTGCCGGGTCGGGACGCGATACACCGTCGACCGGTCGCTCTATTCCTCCACGGCTGCGCGCTAGAGTGCTGGTAGCACGTCGCGAGGCCTCTGCCCCCTCAGGTCGCCCCTTGACCTTCACCGGGGGGAGGCCACTACCTACAGGGGCCGGGACGTACGGGCGTATTCCCGCCTCCGGCCCCCGGCTCGACGGCGACGGATCGGTGCGGAAAGGGAAGAGCTCTTCCTCTCTCGTTCCGCCGCCTCCTTCTGCGAGATGGTGGACTCGCAGAAGTCGAGCATCGCCTTCCAGGACGCATCGCTGCTGAAAGGTCCTCTCCTATGACCGCGACGAGGGCGGCGTGTTGCTCGTCGAACCCAGAGCAACGCGCCAATGTGTGTTCCGCGACGCCGGAGGGTCCTGCCGCCGGGCGTCATTCCCGGAGTCAGTCAGGCCCATTATATAATGTATATGTATATATTTTTGTCAATGTAGTGTAGCCTTACACGCTGCGAACAGCACTCCCCTTTTATTCTCGTCCTGCACCCATATCACCCCTGCCTAGTGTGGCAGGGAGCATCTGCCCGGGCAGTGGGGTTTGCCCCGAGGCCCGCTCCGTGCCCCCCTAAGGGGGTACGACAACCCCTTCTTGTCTTGTCTAGAAGAGATCTATTCCAGCGATAGGACCGCCTGTTGTACAAATTTACCTTTTTATTTTTCTGACCGGGTGCCAACCTCCTATGAGATTCCTCCAACCTCCTATGGGTTCTGTGGGACTGGTCCGCAAATGTTCTAAGCGGACCGCGAGCCCAAGTGATGAAATTTAGGGGCCTACCTATTATATGACTCCTCTATCATCTCACTCAAGCATCCGATTCCCCGAGATCAGGTGAGGTTATCGCGGTCAATACTTTAAACCAGGCAGCGCAGCTCACCCCAAGGACGCCCAGCCAACAGAGCCTTCAAGGCGAATCGAATGCTCTGCAATGTCAGCGGCACGGTGGCCCGTCAGGCTACCCAGACGATGCGGCTGGTGTCCCGGAATATCCATGCCTGTTGACTGTTTTTTAATGTTCATTGTGTTTTGATGTGCAATTAAGTAAATTCTCTTTCTCTCTCAAACACACAGATGTGTGTTGTGTTGCCAATTCGCAAAGCCGTTTTCCCACGATAAATACTATTGTTGTAGAAAAAAACTTCTTCATGGAACACAATGAACTATGGAAAACTAGGAAGAATATGAATGGCTTAATATTAAGCACAGTAAAGATAAGAAAATCTATCTTATCCGTATACCTAACTTTACAGACTAAAATGCCGGCGCGAAAACGTATTAGTCTGGAGGAAGAGTACAGTAAGCCGACTGGTATCACTGCAGATGATATTGCCAAGCTACGCCAATGGTTGGACACTCAACCGCATCTGCCGAAGAACCTTACCGGTATGTTGAAATTACTTCACTGCGATTTCTACTTGGAAACTTTAACTAAAAATTTTGATGAACATTTAAATTCTCTACTTTGGCTGATAACTGACGATTACAACGCGGATGGATCGCGAAATTTCCATTGCGTTATTTTACAATTGTTCTTCTTAAGATTTTGTGCCAACTATTGCGTAATTGTTGGTATTAATAATTCAGCTGACGTTAAATAAATAAATACATAAACGAAGAAACAAATAAATATGTTAAAAATAAAGAAACAAATAAATAATTAAAGGTTCGTGACATCTATTTGAGCGCGGGAGTCCGAGGGAGGTAGCGAAATTCTATTTCACTCTTTCTTTTTGTAATGTAAAGCATACATTTGAAAGTTTAAATTAAAAATGTTGGCTAACATTGAAACTATTGATTCCCATTACAATCCGAATCTTCCTGATACTCATTTTCAAGTGAAAATGCAATCTGCTGTGTTGCTGAAACTGTAGATTCTAGGGCTGTTAGATCAGGGTGCCTTTTCTCTTATTTCTGCCATTCATTCTTGTTTGAAGGGTGGGACAGCCTATGTATGATTAATTGTTCGCTTCGTGCTGGTGGCGTTCACGTTATGACGTCAATTATGATATCAACCACATAATACCTTTTGGGCTGTTAGGTCATATACCAATCTGGAGCAATTTAAGTAACGAACGTACGAATAGATATAGTTTNTAGATCAGGGTGCCTTTTCTCTTATTTCTGCCATTCATTCTTGTTTGAAGGGTGGGACAGCCTATGTATGATTAATTGTTCGCTTCGTGCTGGTGGCGTTCACGTTATGACGTCAATTATGATATCAACCACATAATACCTTTTGGGCTGTTAGGTCATATACCAATCTGGAGCAATTTAAGTAACGAACGTACGAATAGATATAGTTTTTAAACTTTAAAAAAAGGACGCCTTAGGATGTGTATTTTTTACTGTTCCTTTACCTTTTAGATCTGGATCTGATCCTGATCTATCACAAATGCGACCGCAGCCTCCAAGTTTCTAAACAGGAGATCGACAATCAGTATACCCTGAGGACACTCTTCGCATCCTTCTTCAAGGACCGAGGCTTAAATAAGGAAGCTGAAACATTCTTCCAGACCACGTAAAGTATTGATTTCCCTATTTTTTTTTAGTTCCAAGTTGCTGATGTGATGAGGAATTGCTATTTTTTTTTTTATTGCATTGATGGATGGACGAGCTCACAGCCCACCTGGTGTTAAGTGGTTACTGGAGCCCATAGACATCTACAACGTAAATGCGCCACCCACCTCGAGATATACGTTCTAAGGTCTCAGTATAGTTACAACGGCTACCCCCACCCTTCGAACCGAAACGCATTACTGCTTCACGGCGGAAATGGGCGGAGTGGTGGTACCTACCCGTGCGGACTCCCAAGAGGTCCTACCACCAGTGATTACGCAAATTATAATTTTTGCGGGTTTGATTTTTATTACAAGATGTTATTCCTTCACCGTGGAAGTCAATCGTGAACATTTGTTGAGTACCTACGTATTTCATTACAAAAATTGGTACCCGCCTGCGGGATTCGAACACCGGTGCATCGCTACATACGAATGCATTGGACGTCTTATCCTTTAGGCCACGACGACTTCAACAACGGTTTTTACCAGCACAATTGTTTTGGTGGTAGCCCTTAATTATACGAACATATCGTAGCTTATCGCGTTTAATCAAATAAAAAATTTATATAAATACACTCTAATAACAAATTAGATAATAAAAAAATTTTTTTAGAAGTGAACAGCAGTATCTAATTGACTTAATCTTATCAGCCCTATCACAGGAATTTTTCCAGTTTTCGACATTAGACATCCTTGTGCTTAGTGCGAGTTTTTTAACGTTCTCGATAGCGTAAAAGTTAGCTCATATTTGTATGGAGTGGGATCGTTTGCGTACGTTTGCCGCTAGGGGCGCTGTTCCAACTGCATACAAAATTGAGTTAACTTTTACGCTATCGAGATCGTTAAAAAACTCGCACTAAGCACACAGATTTGATACTTTGGAAGTTCGCCAATTTCTACATACAAAAGTAAATTTTAACTTGAAATTGGCGTTCATCTTTTAAGCGTGTATATTTCTTTTAGGCTGGTCACAGTCCTGCCGGAAAGATCCAAAGCGGGCGATACGATATTTTACGGAAGAATGTTGGACTCTGACGTTAAGAAATTCGACTTTGCCACCAGTATCAAGTATGATTATTTTATATCTGAATATTCTATTGTTTAGACGGGTGGATGAGTTCACGGACCATCTGATGTTAAGTGGTCACCGGAGCCCATAGACATCAACTTTCATCACTTTTAAATATGAGTTTTTACAGTACAACGGTTACTTCACCCTTCAAACGTTGTAGACGTCTATGGGCTCCAGTACCCACTTAACACCAGGTGGGCTGTGAGCTCGACTATAAGCAATAAAAAAATGCTAATTAACTATCCCAACACATTTGAACCCATATGCCATTCTCCAACCAGGGGTGTCTTTATGGCACTGGACCTATGGCAATATGAAGAAGGAACGTGGCCAGGACTGATCTTCATCTTCGATTTGCAAGGAATAAAAATGGGCTTATTGTCCAAATTGGACATACAGAATTTACAACAGTTCGCAGCTTATTTCCCTGTAAGTTCATGTCAATAGTTAATGCCTCATACGAGCATTGTGTTATGTTTTGAAGAAAACCATTAACGATTTTCAGGAAGCATTATTAGCGAAATTCAATGGTGTGCACTTCATAAACACGCCCTTGTTCATGGACCGCATGAACACACTCATAAAAGCTTTCCATAAAGCAGAGTTTATTCAGAAATTCATCGTCCATCAAAACGGTAGCAACACATTGGAGCAGATCATTGATATTGACATCTTGCCAAAGGAAGCTGGCGGCAAGTTTAAGAGCTTGGTAGAGTGTCAACGTAAGTACTCATTTCAAAGGGCATTTGCCTATTTCTATTTGCACTGGGTTCAAAGTCTTTTTTTTTTTAAGTAATACTTCTTTAGGCGCGTTATGAAAAATTGATGAGAGTGAAATTTTGCGATGCGCGCGCACCGTGACATAAAATTAACAGAAATGAAGTTGCCCACTAAAGAAAAAATGCTACCAACAAAACAGAAATGGAACCTCTGTTAGTGGCGCATGTTGGCACGCACGCCGCCTCTGCTCACTGTGTATTTATATTTATAATATTTATCCACATGCTTTGAGTTTCTACATTTAAAACACGTGTTTTCATTTTGTTTTCATTATACAAGTGCGAATTTTATATGTGTGTCTGAATTATAATCAGAAGTGATTTAAATTGAACATTTAAATCAATACTAATTAATATTAGAAAATATTTGTGAAAAAACTGTGCTCATTAACCTTCCTAAGTGCTCCAATACAATTGGGGTTAACTATCCGTATGTATTATTTAGTAATATAAATGACAAAATTATTATTTAATATAATTCATACTAAATATTATTAAATTATTAACGTTAAATATTTATTATTAATTATTTAATATTAAAAAAAAAAAAAAAAAATAATAAAAATAAAGTATAACTTCTTAGGCGCGTACATAAGTACACGCACCCTTTTTTTCAATTTACTGACGATGCACTTAGATGTTAATCGTCCACAGCCTAAATCGGACATCTCAATAATTGTAGAGTCATTTTATATAACTGTGCTGTTCAGTAAAGTTTAAAAGTAACAATAAATATGTCGATTATAGGATTTTATTAAATGCCTATAAATATAGTTTTAATGTTGTGTATACATGAATTGTCATTCACATCAGAGATGTGTTTTATTTGCGTGAATTTTCTTTGCCGGAGTACGCACGCTGTTTTTATACCTTGAATAAAGAAATGNTGTAGAGTCATTTTATATAACTGTGCTGTTCAGTAAAGTTTAAAAGTAACAATAAATATGTCGATTATAGGATTTTATTAAATGCCTATAAATATAGTTTTAATGTTGTGTATACATGAATTGTCATTCACATCAGAGATGTGTTTTATTTGCGTGAATTTTCTTTGCCGGAGTACGCACGCTGTTTTTATACCTTGAATAAAGAAATGGAACATCAAATTTTATTTACAGAGGAAACATTAGAAAAAATACGGACTAACGAAGATTATTTCGTCGAGGAAAACAAGAAGAGGATCGTTGAAGCACTAAGACCTGGAAAACCGAAAACCATAGCCGATTTCTTTGATAGCGTTGAGGGATCCTTCAAGAAACTGGAAATTGATTAGCATTAGATACAAGCGGAGTGTGAAGGGATTGTTCTACATAGACTGTGGATTGGTTGTGCCATATGTATTCTTAGCGTTAATATGAATGAAATAAAAAATAAAGCCAAAACTTGAATTATAATAACTACTACTCTAACGCAAATGGGACATTAAATTCACTTCATAGATAGAACGCATTGAGCGGACGCTCCCCGTGTTCACACGAGGCCGTTGACCCCACGCTTTAACGAATTTCTGGATGATCTACATTGCGCGTATTATGATGCGAATTTCAGAATATTACCATATTAGCAGCATCACAAGAACAATGTATGAGAATTTCCGACCCGTTGCATCAACTCAGAATGAAAGTTCCGCATATTTTTATAGTCATTCAGCTCAACGCTGCTATGGCTTCCAAAGTAGATTCTTGTACAATACAATCAATAAGCTGGCCTCACAATTCACTCAATTCACAAATTGGCTCCATGATTTATGAACGAACGGATAATTTACTCTACACTATAAAGTGAACTGCTTTTTGATTTGTGTGTTCAATTGACTCAATGTCATACTGAAATACACACACAGATGCAGACACATTCACTCATTCAACACATGCGCGCACGCATACGCATAGCGATCTACTTAAATGTTAATACATAATGGTCTCTCAACTATCCGATGATTTGCAAGCAAAGTAAATTATCCCTTAGCAATAAGGTGAAACTCTACATAACTGGCATATACCCGGTCATGACCTATGCAAGTGTAGTGTTCGCTCACGCGGCCCGCACCAACTTAAAACCCATCCAAATCATTCAATCCCGTTTTAGCAGGATAGCCGTCAGAGTCCCGTGGTACGTCAGAAACATCGACCTCCACGACGACCTGGACCTAGAGTCCATCAGTAAGTATCTAAAGTCGGCATCGATGCGCCATTTCGAGAAAGCGGCACGACACGAAAACCCTCTCATCGGGGCCGCCGGTAGCGACATTCACGATACTGTGGACTGAATGGAAAGCAGTTGACATCGCCCAAAACATGTCATTTCAGATCCTCCCGATCCACTAACGGTGCTTTTAGGTACATTAAGCACCGGTCATCGTTCTCGTCGAACCCGTCAGCAAGTAAATTAACCCACAGACACAGCCCACTGAATTTCTCGCTGGATCTTCTCAGTGGGTCGCGTTTCCGATCCGGTGGTAGATTCTGCGAAGCACTCACAACTTAACCTAACCAAATCTAACCCAGGAATGGGGGAGCCTGGATATTAGTACATAGGTATTTGAATCTAGTACAGACTTCAGCTCTTTCAAAAACTAACAAACCAAATTTTGACGTTATTTTGTATTTGTGCTATACCTTACCTTACCCTAGAGAAATAATAAATAAATGTTATTATTATTAGATTCGTGGCCGAGCTTATAGACATCTACAATGTAAATGCGTCACCCACCTTGAGATATAAGTTCTAAGGTCTCAGTATAGTTACAACGGCTGCCCCATCTTTCAAACTGAAACGCATTACTGCTTCACTGCAAAAATAGACAGGGTGGTGGTACCTACCCGTGTGAACTCGCAAGAGGTCCTACCGCCAGTAAACTTGCATACATTCCATCATGACCTGCTAGTGTAGTGTTCGCTCAGACAGCCCGCATGCGCAAAATTTCTCTCCAGGTCATTCAATCCCGTTTCTGCAGGATAGCCGTCGGGGCACCGTGGTACGTGAGGATTGTCGACCTCCACGACGATCGATTTAAAAGTCGTCGTGGCCTAAAGGATATGGCATTCGATGCATTCGTATGTAGCGATGCAACGGTGTTCGAATCCCGCAGGCGGGTACCAATTTTTCTAATGAAATACGTACTTGACAAATCTTCACGATTGACTTCCACGCTGAAGGAATAACATCGTGTAATAAAAATCAAACCCGCAAAATTATACTTTGCATAATTACTGGTGGTAGGATCTCGCATGAGTCCGTACGTGTAGGTACCACCACTCTGCCTATTTCTGCCGTGAAGCAGTAATGCGTTTCGGTTTGAAGGGTGGGGCAGCCGTTGTAACTACCTATATACTGAGACCTTAGAACATATCTCAAGGTGGGTGGCGCATTTATGTTGTCTATGGGCTCCAGTAACCACTTAACACCAGGTGGGCTGTGAGCTCGTCCACCCATCTAAGCAATAAAAGAAGGCAGTTTCCTGAGGCGGTCGAAGCTGCGCCGCACGATACCGTTACTCTAGCGCGATGGCACCAAGAGGATGGAATGACGCGTCGGCGACTGCGATCCACGTGTAGTTCGCGATGCCGTCGTCGCTGTCGTCACTGATATACTGTGGAAGAGTGGCCCTGGCAGGCTGGTTCTGACCCAGCGGGATATTCCGTCACGGGTCGCTGTACCGTAAAGACCAGCGTGGTTGGTCAGTCAATCAGTTTGAGTGTTAGTAATATGATTTTTTTTCCTACCTATGCTGATAACCTTGAGAGGCTATTTCAGCTTCACCCTACATGTAGGTGAGCTTACGGGGCTCAAACCGGAAGTGTTGCTAACACTGGCCCTAGCAAGAGCAGTGCTTTGCAGAATCTAGCACCGGATCGGAAACGCGACCCACTGAGAAGATCCGGCGAGAAACTCAGTGGGCTGTGTTTATGGGTTAATCCGCTCGTCGAGCTCTTCGTCGCAAGCGACGGCTTTTATTTACCATTCGGTCTACAGGATCGGGTATGTAATTCCCAGCGGCCACGACAAGAGGGTTCTCATGTCGCGCCGCCTTCTCAAAGTGGCGCAATGATACCGACTGTAGATACTTACTGACTGAGTCAAGCTCCAGGTCATCATGGAGATCCACGATCCTTAGGAACCATGGTGCTCCGACGGCTATCCTGCAAAAACGGGATTGAATAACTTGAAGGGGTTTCAAGTTGGTGCGGGCCGCGTGCGCGAACACTACACTTGCATAGGTCATGAGTAATATGATAGGATACCTTAGTCTATTAACGATTAATTTTTTTTATAGCTTAGGTGGTTGGATGAACTCACAGCCCACCTGATGTTAAGTGGTTACTGGAGCCCATAGACATCTACAATGTAAATGCGCCACCCACCTTGAGATATAAGTTCTAAGATCTCAGTATAGTTACAACGGCTGCCCCACCCTTCAAACCGAAACGCATCACTGCTTCACGGCAGAAATAGGCAGGGCGATGGTACCTACCCGCGCGGACCCACAAGCGGTCCTACCATCAGTAGAGCGATCCTACCACCAGTAAAGCGGTCCTACCACCAGTAGAGCGGTCCTACCACCAGTAGAGCGGTCCTACCACCAGTAGGGTGGTCTTACCACCATTAGTAGTTTAAAAGGAACTTCGCATTAAAGCGAAAACTGTACTTCCGAACCCTTATCTTCGTTAGCGTTCTAAAAATACAAGCTTAATTTTAAAATATTTACTTCAAAGCACTGGAATAAGTAAAAACCATAATGCATTTAAAATATTTTAATTACGATAATTAGTTTTGACAAATAAATAAATAAATAATTTTTGTTAATGAAAACACGGAGGAGACAAAACAACAAAAATGTTTGGTACAAAAAACTTACAAGTACATACACAAAGCAACTCAACCTTGAAAAATTGTTTGTAAATTGTTTTCGAGGCAATTGCACTGCCCAAGTAGCGTGTTTGTTAATTTAATAAAAAATATAAAATATATGCTGCACATCCAAACTTGATTAATCAACTTGAATTTGTCCAATCAACTTGAATTAAAATTTGTTCAAGTAATCATAAAATTATGATAAAAATACTTTATTTGTAAACTAATCAATTCTACCTTCATTATTCAGGTATTTAGTAGTCAGTTATTTATTGGGTAAAGGAAAATATTTTTCGCGTGTAAATTTGATATTGTATATTTTTCGCCAAATAATCTAAAATATGAACTTATTTACTGACATCTGGAGGTTTCTTTTAAAAATCAACTCCGTTATTAGATTTGATTTATATTCGATCGCTACCAAACTCAACAGGACGAACCGTTAAGCTAATTTAAAGATTTCCTGAAAATCTCATCGAAATCGCTCCAGCCGCTGCGGAGTATACAATCAACATATTATACATGAGTCGTCTATTATCAAAGGCGGCAATCTGTACATTTGGACAAAAATTTTTTATTGATATGTCAATACAGATTTATTTGAATATAATCGTCTCCTTCAAAGAATACGGTTCAAAACCTGCATTAAATAAAGGTTAATAGTTAACCTGTTATTTATCTAAGATGTCGTTCCGAAGAGTTTTGTGACTGCCAATNGCGAATAGACTGTGTCACTGTGTCTATGTTTTGTTCCGTACGTGACGTCCTTGGGCGACCCAACCGCGGTTTATCTAACGTCGAACCGGTCTCCTCGAACTTAGCAACCCAGTTCTTAATCGTTTGAAGAGTTGGAGTGTCGTCAAAGTTGTGTAAACCTTTGTGTTCTCGAAATTTACGCCGCGCAACGGTTGCCGAATTGTCGTTTGTATAAAACTCGCGCACACAAAACGCACGGTCCGCTCCGGTAAAACGCTCCATCGCGACTAAATTCCCAGAAACCGAAGTTACTCCCCCCGCTTCCCCTGCACCGCTCACGCGCGCCCTGTTCGTTTTATTCAAATTTTACTTTTCAAATGGGCCACCCTGTACAATATAATTAATAAGCTGGCCTCACAATTCACTCAATTCACAAATTGACTCCATGATTTATGAACAAACGGAGAATTTACTCTACACTATAAAGTGAACTGTTTTTTGATTTGTGTGTTCAATTGACTCAATGTCATACTGAAATACACACACAGATGCAGACACATTCACTCATTCAACACATGCGCGCACGCATACGCATAGCGATCTACTTAAATGTTAATACATAATGGTCTCTCAATTATTCGATGATTTGCAAGCAAAGTAAATTATCCCTTAGCAATAAGGTGAAACTCTACATAACTGGCATATACCCCGTCATGACCTATG